CATGATTTTGTGTGTGTGTTCTCACTTTACATGAGTGTGTGTGGTGTTCTCGCTGTGTGTGTGTGTTCTCGCTCTACGTGTGTGTTGTTGTTGTTGTTGTTGTTCTCGCTGTGTGTGTGTGTGTGTGTGTGTGTTGTTGTTGTTGTTGTTGTTGTTCTTGCTCTGTGTGTGTGTGTTCTCGCTCTACATGATTGTGTGTGTGTGTGTGTGTTCTGACCGTGTCTGTGCTCCTCCACAGTTCCTGATGTCCGGCTGGGCTAACGGCTACATCTACAGGTGTGATCTGGTGGATTACTCCAGCTCTCCACAGGCGCTGCGGGTATGTGCAACACACACACACACACACACACACACACACACACACACACACACACACACGTATGCAGCAGTGTGACGTTTCTCCTCTTCTAGATGGCCTGGACCTGCTGGCTCTACTATTTCTCCAAGTTCATCGAGATGCTGGACACTGTAGGTGACGCTTTACCTTATGTTAATGCGTTTCTTTAGAGTCTGCCATGATGCTAAAGTGTGTGTGTGTGTGTGTGTGTGTGTGTGTGTGTGTGTGTGGGTGTGTGTGTGGGTGTACGCGTGCAGGTGTTCTTCGTGCTGAGGAAGAAGAGCAGTCAGGTGTCGTTCCTGCATGTCTATCATCACTCCATCATGCCCTTCACCTGGTGGTTCGGCGTACGCTTTGCTCCAGGTGAAGATCTCTCTCTCTCTCTCTCTCTCTCTCTCTCTCTCTCTCTCTCTCTCTCTCTCTCTCTCTCTCTCTCTCTCTCTCTCTCTCTCTCTCTCTCTCTCTCTCTCTCTCTCTCTCTCTCTCTCTCTCTCTCTCTCTCTCCACTTTAGCTGATCTACATGAACTCTGTGAACTGTTGATCCTCGTTTGGTGTATTTGTGACCATTCTCTAATTGTGTGTGTGTGTGTGTGTGTGTGTGTTCAGGTGGTCTGGGGACGTTCCACGCGCTGCTGAACTGTATTGTTCACGTCATCATGTACAGCTATTACCTGCTCTCAGCTCTGGGGCCCAAATACCAGAAGTACCTGTGGTGGAAGAAGTACATGACCACCATCCAGCTGGTGTGTGTGTGTGTGTGTGTAAATTCCAGCGTGTGTAATCTCCCACTAACGTGTGTGTGTGTGTGTGTTTCAGGTGCAGTTTGTGCTGGTGACGGCCCACATCGGCCAGTTCTTCTTCATGCAGGACTGCCCGTACCAGTTCCCGGTGTTCCTGTACATCATCGGGCTGTACGGGCTGATCTTCCTTCTGCTGTTCCTGCACTTCTACTACCACGCATACACACGCGGCAAACGGCTGCCCAAAGTGCTGCAGAATCGCAACTTCCTGCTGAAGAAGCTGGACTGACCCGCGCCGACCCCTTTCAGCAGATCCACTTCCTGTTTTACGTTAAAACTCCTGTGGAAACCGTTGCAGACGTGACCCCCCCCCCACGCTGGTGCTGTGTGCAGACGCTGTCCTCCTCCTGCTGCGTTTGTGTGTGTGTGTGACTGAGCTGCGGGCCGGATCTGAGCGCGGGTTATGAGAGCAGAGGTGATGAAGTTTTTTGAGGGTTTGTTCATTAAATGACCCGATGACCTTTGACCCCTGACTGGCCGCCTGCTTGAGCCCCGCAGGATCGTGCGCCGCAGACGTGACGTCAGCTGAAGTGTGTGTGTGTGTGTGATTATTTATTCTTTATTTAATATTGCGGTTTTCTTAATGTCATGCTGTTTTACATGAAGGAAGTGATGTCGTGTTTCCTGTTCTACTTTTATATTGTGAGCAACAGAAGATTGTACCGGTGGGTTTCTCCTCGCCTTTGTCTTTTAAAGTCCTATTTTCAAATTTTTTTTTTTTTTTTTGTATTTGTATTTTTCCAAAAAAAAAAAAA